CAGCTGATATACTGTCAAATCTCCCCTACTGGAGCAGCACCCCGCGGCGGTGTTAAGCATGTTATCTATCTATCAGGACTGCGCCAGTCATTTAAAAAGCCTCATAATCACAGGCTCAGTGATGGCCACAGTAGGTCCTGGGTTAAGGTCACTCATGGGAAAAAAGGGACAGAGACAACAAGCCAAGCAATCATGTAAAAAAAAAGAAAGCACTCCAAGTTTTTGTTTTGACTATTTTAATTTTAAGAAGTGAACACTCATAATGTTTAAAAACAAAAAAAGGAATGTAATGGAAATAAAGTGATAAAGGATGAACAGGTTGGTTCAGGTTGCATTTTTCCCTACAGAGGAAAAAAGGCTAATGATGGCAGGCTGCATGTTTTGTCTGTGACGGGTCAAATAGCGAGCCTTGGGTTTCCCCTGTAAATAAATGATTCTGCCCTTTCTCTGATAAGCGGCTGCAGATGGAAGTCACTGCCAGGGTTCGTCCTCATGGCTTTGTTACAACCCAGTCTAAACAAAATAGTGCCTAGATGCCAACAGTCTGCAGCCTGGTTAGATCTGGAGCCAACGTGTGTAATGTTTCTTGCTTGGAAGCTGCCAAAATGAACAAAGTAAAAGAATTCAATGAGTCTGGCCCCTGATTTTTTTGTGGGGGGTTCTTTTCAACCAAAGGGGGGTGGGGGGACTACAGTTGCACCTGTATACCAATAGTAGTATTTCTGTTCTCCGGCAGATGATTTATAAATTCCTATAGAAATTGAACTGACTAAATCAAGCCTTTTCATGCCTCAACTTGAAGAAATTCCATTGGTGGTGGCTTAATATCAAAACAGACAGACTGACATTTAGATGGATGCAAGTACAACATTTTTATATATTTACGTTCTCCATTTTCACAAAATCTCTACCCAATCTTTTCTACTCCTTGTTTGTATTCTCTTGTAATGAAGGGAGGGCACAAGCTGATGCAGGAGCCTGACTGTGCCTGAGAATCAGCTGGGTGTCCAGGGCCAGCAGGAGGCAGCTCCAGATCTCATTAACAACTGCAGGGCTTTATAACTGCCTGGGATTTGAGCTTTACATGAATAGTTGCAAAGTCCTATAGCAAATAAAATGTACACATTGTTACAGTTCGTTTTAGTTATTTTTTTATGTTCARGATAATGTTCTTAAACATTGTTTTATAATAAATAATAGTTTGAAGGTATTCAGTATTATATGTACACAACTTCTGCTAGCTGGAGAAACATTTGACTTAGTCTTAAACAGTACACTGCAATAATGTGGAAATTGTTTCACACACAAATAATAATATTGGTTTAAAATGATTTTATCTACAACATTCAGAACCTGTTCACAATGCCAGGAATTAACTATTTCAAGTTGTTCGTGTCTCTTTACTCTTTACCTCGCCTCCTTGTTTAAAGCATAATTCATCTGAAGAGCCTTCAGCTGGTTTTCACTGAGAAAAAAGACATAGAAAACAATCAATAAAGAAATTTACATCAAGACATAATAAAATAAAAAATAATCCAAAAACATACAGATACGCATTTTTCCACTCTCCTCTTCTCTCCAGATTTAGATATTTAAGTAGCTCTTTCAAAGGATACTAGAACTAGAAATCATTTCTGATCGTGCAGAGAAGAAAATCTGTGATTTTCTCACACGCTGACACACACATCTACTGTGGCTGGTAGTGGTAGACGGAACTTTTGCGCGTGTTTTTGTTGTTCCGGGGACTGATAAACAGACGGCACGGTTGTTGCACCGATCTGATTCCCCCTTAAAACTGGACGGAGAGGACCGTGTCCTCATTACTCCTCTTTATCTGCTTCATTCAGGTCGGAAATCTGTAAATACACCTCAAATGTTCTGATATTTAAACAAATTTTAATGTAGTTTTTACTACGTTTTAATCTGAGAAGAACTGCTGCGGACATTTCTTTGTCGAATAATGAATAATTATTCAGACTAATAAACTTAGATTTTAGTTCATGGTTTTCAGATGGTTCTCTGTAAAGAAGTTTCTATAATACTTTAATAAATCCAACTCGACAGCCTTGCAAAATAACGAGCTGCTATTTCGGGAGGCTACAGCTCACGCCTCGAACAACCGAACCGGATCTTTTTTGCTCTAAAAGCCGCAAAAACAAAACTTCCGGTCCTGGCTCCGCCACCCTACTAAACTCCCGCCCACCTCTGACAGGTACAAACACTTGTGTGGGTCAGACCGCAGAGAGCAGACTATGATCCTCGACACATACAAATATGGGCTTCAAAATAAACTTAGAACTTGTAAGACATAACAACATGAAACACTATAAGAACTTAAACACAGAATCATTACAATACCTTTATAAAAATGAAAAATTGTTGTCATTTTATAATGATCTATAGCTAAGCTAACTCCTATGTCTCACTAATATAAATGAAGAACCCATGATATCACCAACAACAGTGAAGCAGTGAACCCTGTTTACTTAATGCAACAACATAAATGATGTATGAGTGAATATAAAGATAATGTTGTCCTTTATATACCTGTGTTTCAGTGGTCCCTGCAAATGATCAACAGATGGTGCTGATTAAAGTAGAACCTTCAGAAGAATGGATACCTGGTGTGGACCAGCCAGATCCAGATCCAGATCCCCTAAAATTAAAAGAGGAAGAAGATGAACCTTGGACCAGTCTGGAGGGAGACAAAGTTGTGAAAGAGGAGGCTGATGTCACCAGGTTTTCAGTCACTGCAGTTC